GATCGAGATGAACATTGGCATGCGTGTTCCTTACACAACTGTGCGTCGATTGACAGACAAGTGTAAAATACGGGCTATGTGTTATTTTATACATTTTATTACGTTTTCGTTCGCATTCATTGTGGGTTGGGACTATGGGTGGTGCCCTAGATTTGGAACCACCCCCACCTATTCATAGTTTCTAGACCCGCTATTTATAACTAGTCTACTAAGCACGTAAGTATAATTGTAATACTACATGAAGAGTCCAGGGGAAGAACGATCTAAGTCACATTTTTGTCTTTTCGCATAAAAGGCAAAACATACTTTTGGACGAGAATGCTTGACGCGAACAGAACAATGAGTGGGTTTAATTACAACATCAAAATGACGTTTAATACGAATCATAATTACCAGTACAACAACTGAATTCCTAGCCAAATTAAGATCAAATAAATACGATAGACTTGTATTTGTGCGGGAGGCCATTTCAGAAGGGCCTTGGTTCGATGTGACTCCGATCGTTTTGACCTGAAATTGATTGTTTCACAGAAAGCTTATACCATTTGCTACCAGATTGCGCCATTAACTGGGGTTCATTGAAAAAGTGACTTAGATCGTTCTTCCCCGGGGCTCTATCCATGTTATGGCTCTGAAGGGCTCTGTGAATTCCGTCTCCACTCCCTTTGTTATGCTGCTTCAGGTGGCTCTCATATTCACGTCTTCTTGAATTGGCGTGGTATCGATGCCACCGAGTCTGCACCATACTATAGTGATTTTCAACATTTTCATTCTGTTGACTTAACTTTTGTGTTTGGACCGTACTCCCACATTTCAGCGAAGGTGTATTATGTCGGTATTATGTCGCCACTCTGTGTCCACCCGTTAACAAATGACATAGTTTTTGACGGATATTTTTCAAATCTGGCGTTAGGAAGAAACTATCGATATGCAGCATTCCACGACCTCCCGTGTCAGTGTTATGCTCCCCTTCCGGAAACCTTGTGAACGGGATATAGGTTATAATTTTAACAGATAGTTAACAGATCTACAGATCACAGCAAACATAGAGACCACGTGTCATAATTATCCGATCAACACCGTAAGGGGGGGTGGGTGGGGGGGGGGGGGGCGAGTGGCTTGACTAGACGGGGTATAATAAAACAATAGTGTAAATTTATTTTCTTAATGATTTTCCTAAAAGGACCACCAGATCCTTCCTTCAACCCCGTTCATAAAAATTCTCCAAAATCCAGTAGAAAGTCAAAATAGGTATATTGAAAACATATTTATTTCATCATTTATAACAGCATCATGGCATCATGATTTACAATTAAACATATATATATATATATTTAAACTATATGATGTCTCACAAAACACTGAATGCGTAGGACATCAGTAGATATGATTCGTCATGAATATGAATTAAGTTCATATATATATATATATATATATATAAATCTTTTTTAAAAGGGCAATAACACTCTTGCTGGCTTGACAGCTCCAGAAAATAAAAAATAGCCTTATTCTAAGTACTAGATGTGTTAGTGTCCTACCTGTTGTGTAAATTATCCATTAAATCCTATTTTACTTGTCCAGAGGGTTCAAAAATATTTTTAAATCCAAGTCACATTTGAAAAGTTTTACGTCAGGCTTTTCAAATCATTTAGTTGAATTTTTCCAATTTTTTAAATTAGGTGTGTTAAGATGAAATTTGTATCATCAATTAATTGGAATATTGTAAAATATTGCAATTTGTTGACCAGAATAAAGATTGGGACATATTTTTCAGTTACAACAAGAGTGGTATTGGGCCTTTAAAGTTGCAATTGCAAATTTTCAAGTTATATTTTTAAAATGTATTAAAATAAAGCCTTAAAATAGATGGTATCCATAAACAGTCCTACCTTGTTAAAGAATAATCCTATTAATCCTATAATTCGCTATTGCCGGCTGAGAAATTGGCAAAAATATCATTTTCAACTACAAATTCCAACGTTGGAAAATGGCTGCCCCATGTTGTTAATAGCAAAACAGGGGAGGTTATTGTGTTGTTATTTCCTGTGTCATAGATTTTTAAGGGTGGGAAATAATGCCCATGATCGTATAATAGTGATTTGATAACCTATTGAGCAAAAGACATAGAAAGAATTATGTTTGACTTTCATAGAAAATTTGAAATTCTCGCTTTAAACGTCCAGCTTAAAGGAGGTGCATATTTCTAAGTCAGAATACCATTAAACTGGTCGTCAATAGGAATATCAGCATTATGTCCAAAAAATGGTTCAATTCAGTTCAGTATTTAAAACGACATGGTGAATAATTAAACATTTGTCCATATTCGGCACCTACTACAGACGATCCGCAGGATGTCATTTCTTAATATTAAAGTCAACTGCAGATTTCGTCAAGGTCGCGAGATGTAAATAAAGTTAGAGCACGTGATTTTTGAGATTGTGGGTTGGGTTTTACATTTTGAAACCTTTGACCAAATCAGCAGTTGGCCTTAATAACCTCCATAGGATATAGTCAAAATCAGTCAGTTGCCACCTCAAATTTTGGGGTATCGTTATAGGGTATCGTTTTAGTCGGACTGAATTCATCACCATCAGTTAATATCATTGAAGAGAAACTGATGTTAAATAAATCACAACAAATGAACATTATAAACGTTAAAAGTCATAAGAAATTTGTAAATACAGTAAAACAATTATTATGAATATCATGCTATAAGTTATTGTACAAAGAATTTTCAAACTAAATATAAGAAAATGGACATTCTTAAAGTTGTAATACTTACGTAATACAACAGTTCGCATAATATAGGAATTATGGAAAGTACAAGTTCAAGCTTATATTGACTTGGAACGAAAATAATTTCAACATGTCAAAATTGAAATACATCATCATTTTTATACTGAAAATACATAAATGTGACCACTGTATATTGATATATATACATGTAAATGTGCCCCCGTCTCGTCTAGATGAGGTATAGCAACGTTGTTTGAACAAATGGAAATACGTTCTACCCTTAATGTCCAGGGGAAGACGTCGAAGTTTCGCCTTCAGGGTGTAAGTAAACTGCATTTAAACAATCTAGAGTGACTACTAAACCATATTTAATGAGTCAACCAAAATAGTCCCATATATCATTTCCAGACGTGTGCATTGCATATTTTAGCGTAGCGTAGCGAAGCATAATTATCACAATCAGGATGAAATCCATGGGGGTGAGAGGGGGCGATTAGAACAAGATAAAGAGTTAACAGACAACGGGCAGAGGTGAAAAGTAAGTCCCTTGGATCGCGAAACAACTATATCTTTGCAATGAATACAAACGCAAATATTATAATTAATATTGTGATATGAACATCCTGATTATAACTGGGTATAAGAGTGGTATCAATTTGACAACTATAACTGTCTCTACAACTATAAATGTCTCATTAAAGTATAAGTTTCTCTCTGAAACACAATGAGACATTGTCATGTAAGTGCTTGTATAGTTTATTTCGACTTCTATACGTGATAAATCATATTTTTTTTTACACAATTATTGTTAAAGATTAAACCCCCGCACGATTTATTCACCACTGGCGAATAATCACTTACATGTGGCAACTGCAGAATGGCGATGAGTTATCGCCTTGATTCTCAGAATAACGTTGCGGGGGGGCGTGTATTTGGCATCAAAATATCATTATTTTATCGTTATTTCATAAAACAAACGAGTTGCTACTGCTGGCAAATGTTTATTGTATTATAAAGTTCAATAAACTATAAAACTATGTATATTTTGTAAGGCCAAACCATTGTTAGATTAATGAGATGTAATCATGTAAAGTGTTTAGCTAATACCCCCGTCAGACCGGAGTGGCGTCCTTCCTGCACTGCTACGGCGACGGAAAATGGTCTCAGATCGCGTTAAGATCGCCATAAGCGTGGTAAAAGCGTGCTGGAAACGTCAGATACGTGTATTGGTCTCCATGGTCGCCAATGATCGACGTTTTACGGCGTTTGTTTAGAGCATGTTCAAAACAAACGCCAAGGTTCTGCGATCTGACTTGGAAGACTGTGAGAACGTGGTGAGGTCGCAAAGGTCGCGAGACAAGCGTGGTAATATCTCCATGAACGTAGTACACGCGCAGTACACACGTGACAATGACGCTGCGAAAATTGTAACATTTGCAACGGGCACTTCAAGGCGTCTTCAGCACGACCCTCGCGTATCTGTCACAACCCCGCCAAGCGTTCGGAGTCCTTGGGGCGTTATCATGGTTATGTTTCAATGATTTCACCACTATTGCGCGATTGCACCACGTCCTCATGGCGATCTTATGGGGTCCCACTGCGTTTATGGAGTTCTTAATACGATCATCGTGCGGATACCAAGCTTGCATTACGCTCCTATGGCGACCATGCTTTTCATGTACGACTTGCTATAAAAACAGGTGATTCAAAGTTCATACATCAGTGTGTATGTTGTCATCTTGAAATTTTCAAAAATCTGACCAGCTGATATAGTCGCCGTGATTACGTGTGGTAAGAACCCCCTGAGCGTCGTTAGACCGCCGCGGTTTCGCCGATGATCGCCACTGCCAAGCCATAGATCTCAATAGAAACGCCATAAGCGCGGCCAGGTCGTGAAAGCGCACCGTGAGAACGCGGTAAAATCGCACAGGTCGCGGTAAGAACGCGACTTTTTTCAAGTTTATAATTTTTGGGGGAGATTTCCTCGCGTTGTGTTCACGTTTGCCGGCGACCTTGCGCATTTTCTGGTCGCCGTACGGTCGCAGCAGCGCTGTAAGGGCGCCACCCAGGTCTGACGAGGGCTTAACAGAAAGCTAATTACCGCTTCAAATAGCGAATTCCAACACGGCGTGGACATAACCTGTGTGTATATTAGGTAATGCCAATTAACTAGTTTCAATCAAATAAGGTATTTTACATAACAGAAGAATAATTACAGCTTCTAATAGGGAATTCCAACATGGCACCAACGTAACCTACTTTAATAGGGCGCCTGAACTCCACTGTTCGTAACAAAAAGACATTCGAAAACAATCAACCTGCATCCCGAAAATAGTGAAAGAAAGAAAAAAAAACATATTAGAGAAAGGTATATTTTATGGACAGAAAGTGAATAGCAAACGTCACAAACAATGACAAAGGTTAAACACGTTTTTCTTTAAATAAGGAATTCATAATTTACAATTGCAGCAGCCATATTGCAATATAGGATACATATTGACAAAGAATATCAGACAGGACTTCCTGTGACTGCTATTTGCCCGCAGCACACTTTGCCACCGCCACTACACCCCGACAAATCATCAAAAACATTTTTCCTAGTAATGTTTGAGAAATTCGAGCAGATGTTTTACATCTATCATTGTTGTCGATTACCGCTGCACTTTAAAGGATCGAAGCTAATCGACATTAAAAGTTTTAAATAATAACCTACATTATACAGGCTAAAAATCTAAATAATATATTTAAATTATTCTGAACACTCTGCCGTTCTATAAACAGTTATAACGTGCATTGAATGCTGTCCTCGAGCAGGGGTCATTATTGTTAACTTTGTGGCATTCGCCAATTTTATATTTTAGATATAAACGCATCAGACTCACTCATTCGTCATTACTAAAGGAAAATAAGAGAACGCATTCCATTATTCAACCAAAGAAAGGGATAACACTATTTCTACGTGGCGCTTTATTCGACCTCGATATCGTTTCAAAAGATGGGCAGACGCCATATTCCTGTCCTAGTGGCGCCATCATAGAACATATTTCAAAGAGTTTATTCCACGTTAAGGCTGTTATTATACTATAGCGTGATATATATTTCATATCAGAAACTTTCATTGTGTTCGACAAAACCCCAACAATCCTTTTCCCATCTCGGGGATCATCAACGAACACCGCCGCTCCAGAATTTCCGACAGCAGAATCACAATGGGTCAAAATAAGATTTCCGTCCATATATGCCATGCTGTAAAACGAATGACATTTAGATTTATATAAACCAGTGTCGCCATCTGTCGGGAAACCTAAAAATATCATGTCCTGATTAAGAATGTTTGATTTTGGAACAGAAAGAGGTAAAAATGTCGTCTTTCCCGGAACTCCTATGTTTAATCGAACAATGGCGTAATCATAGGATGCGCGCGCCGCTTCGGATAAATGCCCTGATCTCCGCCAAGACTTGGGTATGCTAATCTTTTGAATGTAATAAACCCTGAAACCCATTGTATCGGGAATCTCGATTTTCAACATTTGTAGATTATGCTTAAAATCTTCCCCATTATGAACACAATGTGCCGCGGTTAGCACATGATACGGTGTGAGAAGGGTGCCTGTACACCCTGATGATAGCCGAACCACGTTAGAGAAGGGATATCTTCTCATTAATGGCAGGAACACCAAAGCGCGGTCATCTTTGCCGTATAAGTACAACTTCTTACTCCTGTTTTTACGCTGTTTTCTATTTTTGCGGCGACGCCTTTTGCTCATGGAGGGAATTCTGTCATTTGGAATGTAATACGGGCCTTGGCGTTTATTTACATAGAATGGATTGACTGAAACCGATTTCGAACGATACTGAGGTTTCATTGGTAAAACAGTTTTTTGACTTAAGAAAATGTTCAATACCCAATCAATTGTTTTCGCCAATGCATGAATAAAAGTTTTATAAACACCTGCACGAGCCACTGGAATTATATTTTCACGTGTATAATAGTTAGCACCATCTGTCTGTAAGCTAGCAATTCCATCCTCGAAATCATTGTCATTTTTACTCTGAAAATCGTTGAAGTCGTTTTCATTATTGTTGGCTTTGTCATACACAATGAAATTGTCAAATTCATTTTCATTTTCAAAGCTGTTTTGATAGTTCTGGTCATGGTTATTTTCAAAGTTATTTCCATTCGGTAGTTGTTGGTCGCTTTTACTATCTACAAAATAGTTTTTTGCCTCTAAATCGGCGCCAAAGCCATTTTGAAAATCGTGTGTATCGCGATTTTGCGAAAAGATGTCCTGATTTAAAAAAGCACTAAGTGGCAACGTTTCTTCTACTTCCATGATATTGTCTGTGGGTAGGTTTGTATCACCATAGTGCATACTAAGCGGCACCGAATCAATGGTTTTATCGTAATAACCTAAAGACATGGTATCAAATGGCACCGTCGGATCTATGGCATTATCCCCATAATTTAATGACATTTTATCAGTCGGCGCATATCCAACTGAGTCTTCCTGATTATTTAAAAATAATTCATCTACGGCATCGTCCTGGCCAATCAAGGAATCCAAAGAAGGCGCGGGTTGTCCTTTATGGTCACTTGGAACATAACTTGAAGTTGACGGTTTCGGCCCACTTTTTGTTTTAGTGTTTATAACAGAGTTTAAATTGCCTTCTTCACGTTTAAATTGTACGTCTGATAACCTCTTGAGTTCCGGCAGCATGTAGGATGGCGGGATATTTGACCGACCTGTTTTATATTGTAAAATACCAAACGTTTTATCGGGAATGTCATATTGTTCCTTAGTATGGTCCGTATAATTGCCCGAACGTCTGAAATTCGGTTTGTATTCTCCGCCCCCGCGACTCATCAACTTACTTTTAAAATGTTTCGAGACTGAAGCGATTTTGTTTAATTGTGATGATTTTGATGGCAGATAAAAGATATGTGAGTGATATAAAGATTTAGAAGTAGTTTTGTATTGAGACAGAAGTTGATTTTTTGTTTGCATATTGGTCTGAAGACGGCTGAGTAAATGGTTCCTGAAAGACATGGGGTAAGGAATGTCGTAGTGTGGTCTTTGATGTCGTAAAGCGTAACAAGTACTAGAGGAAAACATTGACAGCAAACCAATCAAACAATACGACTGGATCACAGAAAATGCCATTGTTTTGGTTTTTTTTAGCAGCTGTGATTGATGGATGGATGGATGGAATATGTTGTTTAAATTATTGTTGATAAAACTTCAGCTTAACTCGTGGGCTGACATGATGGTCAAAATGTCTCCACCTCTACAAAACATAGGATAACTTCATTTTAACTTTTGACAAACCATTTGATGCCTTTCTCCTACAGTTTATCAATGAATTCACTGCTTACTGATTGACATATACACCGTAAGACAGGCGTAAATTAAGCATAAATTATCGAACTGTTGGATGAAGCAAATCCACTAGATTTGAGTAGATATATAGAATGTTGTAGTCACGAATGTTTTATATGTGTGGTCCTGTCTAGAAATTGTACAAACGTAAAAACACTCTAGGTTCCTCCCCGAGTGGTTGCTTAATGTTCCAGAAGGTTTTGTTTATTCAGTAGTTATCCGTTCACAAAACGTTAAAGCCATTCATAATTGTCGAATGTTTCCATCTGTATCTGCCCGGATTAGGATGCATGGTGGTTTATTGTTTCATTTCTGTCACTGTCGCAATTCAACCACTAGTATAAGAAAGCCCTGGTAACTTAATCTGAAAATATAAAATATAAAAGAATTATAAATGTCAAATGAGAAATCCCGGATATATTTCAGAAAATAAAACTAGTCCCAAGTAATTATCTCAACCAAAACGTCTAATTAGTAGGTAGAGTTGGAGACGAGCTTCTTGTCTAGCAATCATATTGTGCCTGGATAATCATGTCTATAACCGTGACACATGAGCAGTACCAACTTCCCGTTTACGGGCTTTATGTTGTTGTTTTAGAGCGAGTAATGGCATTTTGTAGGTTATTGCTACGATTTTATAATTCCTCTGCAAATTTTAAAAATAATATCGAGTTGTCGCCTTTATCAAGTCTCTTAAGGTTGAGGTTTTAATTTAATCGGCTCAATATTTTACGCGGAAGTAAACGTGTGACCTGAAAGACAATTCCATAAAACATGTTCGGGATTTACTATACGAACATTTTGCAATTCGATGTGGTTCTTCACGATACAACAATGATGAACCAATTGACCGAGTTGTTTCAACCAATCAAGTAGCTACCTATCGGAGGTTAGGGCTGGTTGATTCTCGACGAAAGAAAACCCTGAATCAACTTGCATTCTGTGCGTTCTTTTCTTAATTTGGAAGGTAGCTGAATATTTCCAAAGGATGTTCAAACCGAATTTCACCATGTCACCGTCGATGGACAGAGAGTCATACAAGGAACACCGCCTATTTATTCGGATAGGAATAAACAATAACCTCTTACAGATTAAATTGGACCGAGAATAGATTACGGGCTCTTTTCCGGGGGTAGTGGAAAAAACTCATTTTTAGAAAATCCAATCTTTAGTAGGAAACACAATAATGTGGCTCTCACCCGAGAGCCTCAAATTTATTATTTTATCTTTAGAAACAAAAATACCAGAATACCACAAGCGACACCGGAGGAAGGCCACCAACGCCACCAACACCAAAAAAACCCCAGCGAAATCAACTTTGTGTATAAATCTAATGTATTATATGTATTTTTTTTTAATATAAAACTAGGAAATACCACGAACCAAATTTTCATCATTCTAGGTCAGTGCTTATGCGGAGACTTAACCTCTCCCCAAATTCTTAAACCCATCCTTGGACCTAGCCCCAATGCTTACCCTAAGCCTAACCTACAATTTCGCGAACAATCAAGTGCCCTAACCTTATTTACATCTTGGTACAATGGACTTAAATCCATGGTAGCGTCTGTGCTGCTGACCAATCCGATAAAGAAAGTACCTGGTCAATTTCCCGGGGCTCAATACATGACTCATGCACGTATCCTCTTTATATAAGAAGAACGGTGTTAACTTTCCCTTCAGACATTATTGAGAGATCCTAGAGAAGATATCATTCGGAGTTCCCAAGGAAACATCAGAAAATCATAACCACAGCCTCCTCGGCTGATAGGCTGGGGAAACACCGCCGCAAAACACAATCTTGGGGATAGAGAACTTATATTTATCTTATATTTAATGTCATGGCTGTGTGGGTGTAGTTTCCTGTATATAACCGTTGTATTATGGATGTTATAAAGATATAAAAACATAGTCAACGTAAAAAGTGTTCCAGAGTTAATTGATCATGCACAACGTGAAGTCAAAGTTAGTTCTGAATTGAACATAGTGTCACGGGCCAGATACACAACGTGGAAGCAATGCATAATTTATCTATTTAACGACATCGTAGTGTCACACTATTGCGATCTGAAGCGATGATCACGATTAGCAATTAATTGTGTTGATAACAGAACATTTTGAATCGTCCAAAACTTTTCTACGATTGCTACGACTGATGAGACATGATATGGTCATCAAGATTACTCCACGATTAAAACCACGATTTCAATCGTAGCGCTAATCGTGATACTGGAAATCTAGCATAACAGAGCATGGTGTTTGTATTGTCTAAGGCTGATCTCGATCACCACGATTTGAAAGCACGATTAGATGCGATCTGTCGCGCTTTATTACGATCCAAAACGATCTGAAGCGATGATCACGATTGACAATCAATCGTAGAACATATTTGAACCGTCTAAAACTTTTCTACCGCTGACTGCAAGATATGATAAGACCTGATAGGATCACCACGATTACTCCACGATTAGAACCACGATTTCAATCGTAGCGCTAATCGTGATACTGGAAATCTAGCATAACAGAGCGTGGTGTTTGTATTGTCCAAGGCTGATCCCGATCAACCACGATTTGGAAGAACGATTAGATGCGATCTGTCGCGCTTTGGTACGATTCAATACGATCTGAAGCGATGATAACGATTGACAATTAATTAATCGTGTTGATCGTAGAAAATATTTGAACCGTCCAAAACTTCTCTACGACCTCAAGATAATACCTGATAGAATCACCACGATTATTCACGATTAAAACCGCGATTTCAATCGTAGCTCAAATCGTGATATTGGGATCCTAGCATAAATAGCAGCCTCCAAAACATTGATGTGGAATTTACAAGAGACAGAAACTATTATTAAAGATTAAGAAAACCGTCTTTGCAATGAATGAATGAAATGGAATTTAACGTCCCTTCTTTCAGCACCGAAACATCTTTGCATCAACGTCGTTATTGATAATAATATGCACCCAATCGAGTACTTCTCATTAGGCCTTCCATTGATGTTAATAGATTGGTGGACAATTTCTTTCCGATTACAGTCAACTAATAAAAACAGAGCGTTGAAATATGCCACCCAGCAGCTATTCTCGAAAAAGAGACCCATAGACAGCCGTTTATATCTCTTGAACTGAAAGTTGTAGGATGCTAAAAATCTGGTCCAAGCACACAATGATGCTTTAAAACCCAATTTGAACAAATCAGTTAAAAACTGTAGTCTCTATCGGCTAACAAGCCAGTTGTTCAACTACGGACATTTTTTGGAAAAGGGGGGAACTGACGATCGTGGAACGCTGAATAACGATAGGATTCACCAAATTTGAAAACACTTTGTTAAAAACTGTAGTTTCTATCGCGTTAACAAACCAATACTTGATTGGCGGATAGAGTCCACGACGTATACGACCACACTGAAGTAAAAAAAAGTATCGCACTAAACTTGTTAGCAGATAGTAGACTGGCTTGACGTGCTTATCACGGCAATAAGAACGACAATAAGAACTGGGCAAATGTTCTTATAATTAAATGTACATTTCTTCGGATGTCTGAGTCTCTATATTTAGCCTTTTGTTTTTATGTGTATGGAGGAGGATATGGTGGAATATAATTTCAAAATCTTTATATCAACTTTGATGTAAAACTGTGGAACGTTATCCCACTCATCCCTGTAACGAGAATGATATATCTAACCAATTGAACGGATTTTGAAACACATGAAAGACT